TGAGTGACTTTTTTGGAGTTTCCCGTAAATGCTTTATACGCAAAATTATACAAACAAAAAATTTGTTTAGCAAATTGTATGAAATTCATCACAAATTTTACAATAAAAATGTCAACGGCCAACTGAGCGRTAACTTAAAGGCAACAGAATTTGAATGGAATGTGAGTAGAAGGAATATAAAATAGCAGTTGCCCCTTTTTTATGTCCTTCATTAGTCGTGTTTTGACGTTATGTGGYGCAATGCCATAAAAGTGGGACCCTTTTTTTCCTATTGGACGCATTTGACTCCATCAATCACGCGTCCCAGCCGCAACCGGGAATGTGTGACGTCAGCAGAAACCGTTTATTTACACCGAGCGTTGTGTTCAGCTGACAACACTGACGGCCTCAGTGGCGGCYCAAACAGGCATAACAATAGCCAAAGCCAATGGGGAGAGCAATCATGGCGAAAATGTCCACTGTCAGTGACAGCAGCGACGTCTGTCGCTGACGCTGAGTGTGACAGTGACATGACATACTAACGCACCAAAACCCAAGCCAGACACACAGACAGACACTTGCGCAACTGCTTCTGTTCAGTGCCTTCGCTTTTGACAAAATTGCACATTTTGCCCRYTTTTTCTGCAGCGTGATTTATTCTAACGCTTTTTAGTAGATTCCTAAAAATTAATAAAAACCGCCTCACCTCTCTATTTTAAGCAATGCATTGCTGTTATGTTGACATGTGTGGAAATTATATGCAATTTATTTGAATTTCACATATTGATAACCTATTATTTTTACCTTTTCCATATGTTGTCCAATTAATTTGGAACAKAATTTCATGATTTGATTTTGACGCAAACGCTCAATCAAATAAAAAATTAAAATAAAACTGTTAAATGATTGTCATAAATAAATAAATATTAACCGATTTTAACTGAAAATTCTTTTATAATTTTTGTATGCTTGAGAACAATACCTTCAAATGCTTTATTTGTATTGCCTACGTTTAGGTACGCTGTTGGTAGTTTATCCGAGCCACACAACTTTTCATATAAAATAAAGAAGCAAACGTCTGATTTTGAATGAGTAATGAAAACTGTCGTCACGTCCAAGGCGGGCAATTGACTGAGCCATTTCATGAGATTACACACTCACCAAACATGGTTTTCAATAAATCGAATGTGACATTCGCTGTGTGGCTTGCGGTGTCGTCCTGTCAAAATCACGTATTGTCCAAATCCATATCGTCTACTTCGGGTCAAAACTGCTCGGTTATGATTGAGCAGTAGCGATTCGCATTCACAGAAACGTGTCCGTCTTGACCATTATGGAAGAAGTACGGCGCAATAACGCCTCCGACCCAATGGTTATGGTGGTCAAGCGGATTCAGTTCCTGCGTCAATGTGATCTCGTAAGAATGTACGTCAAGATCTTTTCGCAAATTTCGACACAATGACGTCAAAGAAATGCCCAACACTTGAGAACGACGTGTGAGAGACTGATTTGGGTCTTTCTCAATTGATGCGCAATATTCTCGACACTACGGGCACTTCTTTATCTCACTGGCATGCGAACATTTTTTACTGTACCTGTGGATTTTTGTCCACTAGGCGCTCAATTGTTGATCTGATAGGACGATTACGACGACCATAAATTGRACGTAGCGCTCTTAAASTTGACGCCAYTGACTSCGAATTTCGATGYMYWARGAGCTGGAAAAAATATGGAGTCATTTGTTGTCCCTATCGATCCACCTTTGTAGCGTCGCTATTGAAAAACCCTTTARTTAGCTCSAACCTTCGAAAGSCRTGTGTATAMATTTGACAGCTKYCGGATCATTGGTTTGTTTATTTATATCATTCTAAGTGAAGCAGCTTTTATTTTTGTAAAAATGTGTTAAAAAGAAGGTTTTGAAAAATACTGCTTTTCGATGTGAAAAAATACAGCTGAAGCAAAAACTTGTCTTGATGACGRGCTTCCAGTCACCATAATCAACCATCAATGAAAGGTATGCTAAGTTTAGATGTCGTGAAATAAGCACAGAAGACACGAWATAATTTTGGGTGACTGTAGAGTGTGGTTATTCCAGACAGCAGGCRCTCTAAAGATATCAACTGAATGTGYATATCAAATTATTCAYGAATATTTGGGTATGATACAGCTYGGAATAAATTGGATGCTGCGCGAGTTCTCTTTGTACMATAAACAAAATAAATAATAGCCAGTGCTGCTGCTCGAAAAAAATTCACCGTGTCACAGATCAGTGGGAACGATCGGAAAAATCCATGAATGGGGCTTTGAATTGCTTTCGTATTCTCAGTATTCTCCATATTTGGTTGCTAGTGAATATTTACTGTTCAGAGATCTCAAACGAATGCTGGGAAGAATTTTCGTYAAATGAAGAGTACCGCTATTGTAATAATAGCATATAACTGCCGTACAAACTGATGCATGAAAATCAAGTTCTTGTAAGAAAGCTTTGTTATTTGTGMAAAGTTTTAATRGCTTCGGTGCAGCCGAAGTTAATGTGTTTTCTTGGTTTATCATCACCTTCTTACTTGCCTTATTGTCCATTTTCAAGTAATTTTAATACCTTAAAACATTTTAAATGCCAATAAAAATATGAAAAGCCTCAGCTTGCTCAACTTAACTCAACTTATATGCGCAAATCTAGCCCGCTATGCTAATATTTTTCATTTTTTTTTTGTTTTTTTTTCTTTTCACTGCGCCGCCACTACTTATATAACACATACAATGCATATGCTTTTATGGTAAATAAGTAAAGTCAAATAAATGTTGCGCATACCACCTGTGGTACCCTTATGTTTTATGTGTCTTTCGCTGGGAACAAAGGCTAAGAGCAAAACGGTAAACATTTTAACATATTTAACAACGGTAAGCGAACAGTGTCAACAAAAAGCCTTAACTTTTACAACTGACTTACTTAGGCTTTTCAAAACGGTTGAGTGTTGCATATGCACATAAAGGCGAAAGTGTTGTGGCAGCGTGGGTATGAGCGTGAGCCAGGGTGCCAAATTGCACGAAAGGAAATGSAAATCATTGAATTTTGAATAGGTGAGAAATAAAATATATTTTTTGGTATTTAGATATTTTGTTTTCTTAATTTGGAAATCCGATTTTTGTAGGTTTAAAWATATCAAAAATTTTTGTTACATTTTTTTTATATCTTTTATAGGTTTTCGATTAGCTTTTCTTCATACTTAAAAGGAAATAAAATATGATTTTTTACTTCACGCTTGAAATGTGGTTAACATTTTTTTTTGTAATTTTTAAATCACATGGTCTTACAGGGCCGCTTCTGCCACATATATATGTATGTATTAGCACCAGTGTGGGTTTACACCGTGTACTCGCAACCCTTGCTGTGCCATTTTGTTTATCCGGCTATTTTGTTGCAGATTTAACCGCAGATTATAAGCTGTGTATATCGCTGCGAAGACCGCAGCCGAAACCTTCATGGCTTCCGAAAACTTAGCTGCAATGGCTAATGGAAATTTGTATAAGCGCATGTGGATGCAGTGAGTTACATTACAARCACAAAAAAATAAGTTATGGACGAATATGAACTAGTCCGAGACTTGCATTGTTAAATGTACATGCTTCTTTTTACTTTTTACTCGCATTTTTTTGAAAAAGTCACCGTATTACAGTATACATTATCATTGCTGGCACCCTAATGTTTTTGCATGGCTAAGTATATTTCCCTGTTGTTTCGACCTGCTTTTGCTGTTTCTTTAGGCAAGTGAGATTTCTAATTTTGTTTTGTTTTGTAATTTATTTTATTAAGGAAGCGTGGGGAAGAAAATAGTAAKACTATATTTTCGCAAAACGATTTCAACAAAAAATACTAAAGGTCAATTGAGATAATATAAATTAAACATATTATTTTTTTTTTGTTGACCTTTAGTATTTTTCGCTGAAATATTATAATATTTTCATCCACATGCTTCCATTCTTGCTGATGCCACTTAAAACCAGAAAATTACATTAAAACACTGCCCGAAATACTTGTACAATTTTAAAATGTGCCATAGGTTACTTCTTCATTCTATGATATCATTTGCTTCAGAGTTATAAACAAAAGCACGAATATGCGATACTTGGTTTAGATAGGTATAGTTTTTAAAGCTATAATGAGGGTTTTAATTACGAATAAAGAACAATAACCGAAGAGGTTAGAAAGTAATAAGCCTTAGGCCTTTAAGCTCACAAGTCTCAATGATTGAATCAAGATAAAATTTTTTTTTTATTTCTTTCGAAATTATTGAATTTTATAAATAATTCATTAAAATTATATAGTTTTTTCAAAAGCAACTTATAGACTTTTTAAAGCGTTACTCTAAAACCAATCCACGACTCTTGAATTTGTTTGTTTCAGTAATAAGTGTCATCGATAAAAAGTTTTGTGGAATTGGAAATAACAAAATTCGACAAAACTGTAAAATGAGTGTTTGGAACTTTTGCCAAAAGTAAAGGGAAGTAATGAAAATGAAAAGTCATGTTAAAARCTGGAGTAATTATGTTCTAAAATCCTTATTTTCAAAATCCCTCGAAATGTTTTTCAAAAGATTTTTAATTTTGTACGATGATGGATGGTATGTAGCAAATAGCTGATTCGATTAAAGTAACACCGCCCAGTAGTGAAATCAACATGAATATTTTTTCTGGGATTTTTCGGTGCAATATTCGGATGGTTTGACACAAAAAGCGTGGCTAACATCGATTCAATGATGTGGAAAAGAAGCCAGGTTTATTTAAATATACTTTTTGGTTTGTCTAAGGTACAGCATAATTTTGTGACAGTAAATGTGATGGAAAAGTCCAAAAGCAAAACTTCAATCGACTTGTGGTGTATGTGAAAACATTTCATGTTTAGAAATCTATTACAATATAAAAAAATTCTTCGGTGCAAGAAATGGCAAGAAAATTATTAATAATAGTAAATGTATTTTTTTTATTACTGTTATACATTATGTGAACTATAGTGATGCATACAGTATTTGGTAGAGTTATTTGCAAGCAAACTAATGTCAAGTGTCTCAATCAGTCTTTATTTTTACAAAAAATTCTTAAATTTTTCTAGCGCAGGCTTTGCAGATTTTCACTTTCCATCATTCGCAACTGTCTCTCCCTGCGGCTTCAGTTTACTCAACAGCTTCCAATAGAGTGACGATTGCACGGAGGACTCCAGCACTTTGCGTTTTTGACGCAGAACAACGCTACGATTACCCTTCGCCTGCAGCGCGCGATAATTGTTCTCCAATGCAGCGCCATGACCRTCGGACAGCCGGCGGAAGCGCTCCATCTGACTGGGCGTAATTGTGATGGGATGTGAAAACACCACCCAAGTAACGGCCTGCGAGCAGGGCGGCGTTGTCAGCGAGCCAGCGTAAGTGTAAAACTCATCAACGTCCATGTCGCCCAGTAAAACGGAGAGTTGAAAATTGTCAATTTCTGTGGAGCGATTGAATTCGGAAATGGACTCCAAAACATTTATGACTTCATTTAAGCCAACGAAATCCTCTGTGATATTTGCCTGTAGTGGAATATGCGTTTTATGTTTTTTTGTTTTTGTTTTTATTTTTGGAATTTTATTTATTTTCCGTACAAACTTACATTCACTGCGTACAGCACGGCCAGCACAGCCAAGCCGTCTTCGTGTTCGCGCGCCTCCTCCACTGTCGCATATTTGGTATTCCGATGCAGCAAATGCATCTCCATCGAGTAGCGTTCACTGTCGAGCACATGCTCGGAGCCATGCGTGTCGATGGAGCCCCAATGAAAATGCAAACTCTCCATTATGTAAGTCGTGCCGTTCTGTAGCGGCCCGCCGACGATGTAAGCGCTATCGAGTCTCGCCGTGGGCAATTGTATATTTGCCGTGTGTCCGTTATTCTCACTTCGCACCGCTTTCTGGTAGGGTACGTCATAGTGTATAAATTTCAACGACGGCAGGTTATATGATATAACGGCCTGTGTATAAAGAAATTAAATCTTTGAACTTATAGCAAGTCAAATACAATTTATAGCAAGACAATGTTTATGTCATGTATTGTTTGTCATTAGTGCATGACTTCTGGTTTGAGATTCTTCAAAGTCATTTTATAGTTATAATGTATTAAATATCTAGGTAATATAAAAACTTTTTTTCACAAATGAAATCATGCATTTTTGCTCGCCATGTCTTATGAACACTTTATTACACAGTGACAAGCTAAGATTTACACTGAGTGTTGTCTGTGGTCAAGATTTTGCTAATTTGCGATAAAAACCAAGAATTTGTGCGCTTATCTCTTGCTATTAGTTTTTTGAGAAACCCAGTCTTATCGAATTAGCTCTTATGGCAGTCATAAAATAATAATATCACTAGACAAGTAAATAACAATAATAAAAAAAAAACAACAACAGTTTTCAATTGATGAGTTTCGAAGAATTATTGCGTAGAGACATAGAAATGGGAGCGAAAGTTTTTATGTATGGTAAAAAAATTGTTTGCATTTGACAACAATGTGAGGTTAGCTTACAAAACTTCAACTTTGCTTTGCACACATTTTTTTGGTTTTTCTTCTTTTTTCATTTAAGACAAATAACAGCACAAGTGTCAGAACCAAGCCCCTTACCTCATTGGAGTTCAATTCAATCGGTGATTGACGATTAWAGCTGCATTGCCGAAAGTCGTCGTACCATTTGGATTGATGCTCATAGTCAAACTCACYGCCTGAAAAGTAGAAGTTGATAATCATAATAATTATTGTTATATACAGTGTTTTTTCATAACGACGCTACAAAAGTCGTCCGACGCCATATTCTTTTTCCTTCTCTTATCATTTCTCTTCAGTATGAAATTATTAAAATTTTCTACCGAAATTCGGAGTCAGTGGCCTCAACTTTAAGAGCGCTAAGTCCAATTTATGGTTGTCGTAATCGTCCTGTCAGATCAACTATTGAGCGCCTAGTGGAAAAAAATCCACAGGTACAGTAAAAAATGTTCGCGTGCCAGTGGGATAAAGAAGTGCCCGTAGTGTTGAGAATATTGCTGCCGCTAGCGTATCAATTATGTAAGACCCAAATCAGTCTCTCACATGTCGTTCTCAGGCGATTCGCATTTCTGTGACATCGTTGTGGAGAATTTTGCGAAAAGATTTTGACCTACATCCTTACAAGATCAACTTGGCGCAAGAACCGAACTTGAAAATGATCCGGTTTTTCAGCGAAAAATCATCTTCAGCGATGATGCTCATTTCTGGCTGAATGGCTTCGTCAATAAGCATTATTGTTCAAGGAGAAATCTACATGTACCGCCATGAGTCACCATTGCATCCAAAGTTATGGTTTGGGCCGGAGGCGTTATTGAGCCGTACTTCTTCCATAATGGTCAAGACGGACACGTTTCTGTGAATGCGAATCGCTACTGCTCAATCATAACCGAGCAGTTTTGACCCGAAGTAGACGATATGGACTTGGACAATACGTGATTTTGACAGGACGACACCGCAAGCCACACAGCGAATTCGATTTATTGAAAACCATGTTTGGTGGTCGTGTAATCTCATGAAATGGCTTAGTCAATTGGCCGCCTCTGTCGTGCAGTTTGACGCAGTTAGATTTTTTCCTGTGGGACTACGTCAAGGCTTTGGTCTATGCCAAGAGGCCAGCGAAGATTGATAAACTTCCTACGAATATTGAACATGAAATTGCAGCAATATCGCCCGATGTGGACTTCTGCAAGCATACCCGTGGTGACCATGCAAAAGAAATCGAGTTTCATACATAATAGCATCAAATTCATTTTCACAGGAATAAAGACTTTTGTAACGCTCATATTGAAAAACCCGTCATTTGCGATGAATAGTGAAAATTTTTTTAATTTGTGTGCCTTTATGATTAGGTTAGGTTACGTTATGTTTAATAATTTAAGGGAAGTGTTGAGATAATTTCACTTCGTCTTGTTCTATACAACTTTTGCAGATGGCGTCGGGTATGATCCCAACCTTTCAGCATGGACGCTAATAAGACAATGGACTGTTGGAAGAATCACAATTAGGGAGAAGCTAGCCTTRCTGATGGTAAAGAGCTCATTGGATTGTTTGCGATCGATCTTGGGATCTTGCGACAGCGCATGTAACGAAGGTAGCTCAGCTGTAGTTATGTTTTCGCGAAGGCCAGCTATCCAGTAGTAAAAAACACCAGAAAGGCAAGCTTCGACCAGTTCCTTTCCAGTTCATCAACTTTATGATTGCTTGTGGCTCTGTTATGATCTGAAACCCATACTAGTCTTATCACAAATTTATTCGCTGCACTTGATAATAAGGTTAGGTATTCCTTAACAAGCCTTGAATGGACGGTTAGTGGGCTCAAGTCTGTGTGGCCGGCCTGCTGTCAGAGCTGATAATCATGCTCTCACCCCTSGCAGTAAATCTAACGCCAGCTTCATGTCAGCAACCTCGGCTGGAAAAATACTTCAACAGTCTAGAAGTCTCAGGCGGAAGTTGATAGAGAGTTGCTAACAATATAAYTCTAAACCAACCGTCCCCCCAAGCTTTGATCCATTCGTAAGGAAGCTTACTGCCCCTCTTCTTCAACGGCTTCTAACCAATCACAGTTACTTTGCAGGTATGTGGGCAAAGAAAAACCGCTAAAGTTTTATTTGACGGCGGGATGATCCAAGAGATCCCATACGAAGTCAAAGCGTTTTAGGAGCTCTAAATGTTCAGCATAAGTTTATTTGAAAACCCAAATCTTCTAAGGCTGACATCAACTCTAGTGGCCATATACCTTCCGGTGATATCTGTGGGCACTACATACTAGATGGTATTGCGGGTCATAATTGGTATGGCTATTTGTGTTTGTGGAATGCTCTCGAGCTCCTTTGCAAGTGTGATATTTTCAGGGTTCTCTACCACACAATGACTCCATAGAACATAATGGGTTTGACTAAGGTGTCGTAGAGTCTAAGCACTACTTTCGGCGAGACTTTGGCCTTGGCAATAGCTGCTCTGCAGCAGTACATGATAGTCGATGCTTTCTTTGTTCTCTCTTCTATATTAGGCTTTCATGAATATTTCCTTCTCAGGCTCAACCCTCAATACTTCACTGTATTTATTATTTTTATCTTAGTTGATTTTTTGAATACACTGAAAGAATACACTACTACACAAGAAGAATGTAAATAACTTGTATTTTAATTTCATATCAATATTTTCACTTAATGAACACTAACACATCTCACATACCGTTAACAGCTGTATCCGCCACTACAATGCCGAAAACTAGGAATATGTGGAGTTTTCTGTACATCTTCACTGAGTAAAATTTTACAATTATTTGAAAGGATAATTGGATATCTAGGTATAAACTTTAGCGGCAAATGAGGAAATTTTCGTATAAAAATGTGTTCTCAAACAATTCACTTTCAGCACTGAACTATGAATGACAACCCGAAATCGCTACTTARAGAAATTTATACCAGTCATTAGCGCTCAATCAAACATTTCACCAACTCATTGTCTGGACATTTGTTGCTCTTTTTTATCAAAACATCAATGCAGATATAAGTGTAATTCCGAAATCAAAGGTGTGTAGCGTGYAACAGTATCTAAGGCAACCACAATAATAATAAAGCCATAAAATTTATCCAAATCGCACAACAAGGTAAATATGTAACAGAAGTGTGCTGTTCAACCAGGTGATAAAACAAACATAGACATAGACATCATAGCTACAAACACATGACTTCCAGCCGCTGATTTTATTAGATTTTTATTAATTTCGGAAAAAATTCCATTCAATAAACATACATAAGGCATGTGTAGGTACATATGTATTAAATATAATGCTGAAAAGAGAAAGCAAAATGTTCAGCCACGAATTTGTTGGCATCTATCTATCTAGTTAAGATACAAATAGCTACACAGTAACCTAAAATAACTTGTATGTTTATACAGTTAGCTAATTATYGTTTAAATGTGATTATGTGGATTATATTGAAAAGTGTGTCTCAAACGGTTGACTGACTTCGAGAGCGGAAAAAGTGTGGTTCGCCGAATTGAGCTGTGAGATGAGGAAATCTACATGAACATACTTCTATAAATATTTTTAATTTTTTTTTTTAATTTTATTAKTTTCTTGATAAGTAATACTTTCCTAAATAAATAGCTTAGGTTCTAATATTTACTACTTCGAATTATTTAAGCTGTTTTTGTCGAAACTTAGCGCTTGTTTTTCATAAGTTGTCGGTTTTTCGATTGTAGTTTCAGTTTCACTATCTCTTTCGTTGAATAAACTTTGTACTTTCAATGCTTGAAAGTATATAACTTTTTGAGAGCTACACAAGATGCGCTCCAGAGGAAACATTTCAATAGAGCTTTTTGCTCGATGGTTCTAGCTGGTTTTCCGGTATGGCCGCCAGTATGCCGGTGCAAGCCTTGTGATAACMTCTACGTCTGCATAACGCTTTCCTTTCATGGTCAAATGCATTTTTCCGAAAAGGAAGAAGTCACACGGTGCTATATCAGGTGAATACGGAAAGTGATTAATGGTTTCAATGTTATTTTTGGTAAAATAATCGGTCACCATGATGTCCTTCGAATGCTGGATTCTGAGCAATTTTTGGTCGTCAGTCAATTTGTGCGGAACAAACGGAGCACACACCTTTCGTAAGCCCAAATTTTTGGACAAAATAGAATGAATCGATGTTTTGGAAATTTTCAATTCCATTTCCATGAATTTCAATGATGATTTCGACTGATTTTTGATGAATTCAAGCGCAGTTTCGATGGAATTTCCGGTGATCACGGATTTTGATTGGCCCACATGTTGATCGTCATTTATATCCTCACGATCACTTTGAAAACGTTGAAACCACTCCGTACACTCTGCTACTGGATAAGCAATCATCACCATAAACTTGTTTCAACAAGTGAAACGTGTCGGTAAAAGTTTTACCAATTTTAAAACAAAATTTAATATTGGCTCTTTGTTCGAAGCTTATTTTCGCACCGATAAAATAAAAATACTGACACTTAAAGCGCAATAACTTCACTTCCAATCTATGAAATGACATGAAATTCTCATTGGACAATCTGGATAAAGATGGTAGATTCTAACGACATATAGATGGCGCCACCAGGGCCAGATTCAAAAATTCCTGTTTACTTCGGAACGCACCTTGGATGATTAAACCAGAAAGTTTAAAAAACTCAGTTGAAATTTTGTGGTTGTATTGATCCAGCTTTATCC